AAAGAGAGAGGGAAAGGGTTCATGAGTAAGCGAGGGCCAGGACCTTGAGGTCTTTCAAAGTCGGGCAGAAGTTGGTCCAGTAGCTTTTTCTTTCTTTTTTTTTTAAAAAACAAAAAGAAATCGGATTACAGTCTGTTTCTCATTCTCAGGGTACAGTCTACACTGACAGTGCCCGTCCTGTGGGATGGTTGTGATGATAGCTTAGGAACTTTGGGCAATAATTGAATGATGTCACCTTTATGTCCTTTTGAAAATTCTGGAATAAGTTTTCCGCTCTTTTAAAGACTTTATCTCTGAGGAATGTAAGAGGCATAGATGATACTCAGTTTGAGTAGGACAGAACATCTTTAATGAGCTGGTAAGGTGTACAGGGAAATGGATGAGACAGTCAGAGGAGAATGAAGTTAACAGTATTCAAGACATTGTTAACAGAATTTCTGCACGAGCCCTTTTGCAGAAATAGACCTGAATAACAGTGGTAAATTGATTTGTGACAAAAGCGGCCCAATAATTCAGTGAGAAGAGAATAATCTTTGCGACAAATGGTACGGGAATAACTGGATATCTTTATGGAAAAAACCTTGACCTTATTTTCTAAAAATATTTTGAATTTCTGCTCTATTTTGTTCACTTTTAATATTGTTCGTTTATGTCTACGGCCATGCCACCCTGAACATGCCCTATCTCGCTTGATCTCAGAAGCTAAGCAGGGTCGGGCCTGGTTAGTACTTGGATGGGAGACTTGGATGGGAGAGGGCTCGACAAAGGAGCGGTGGCCCCTGGCAGCACTTCCACGCCCTGAGAGAGCGGCCCCAGCCCCGGCCCTTGCCGTCCTTGCACTGAAGCTAGTCATTTCAGTTCCTCCCCATGTATGTCCCTGGTGCTTTTCACGCTGCTGCCCGCGAGCTGGGTCCCTGAGCCACTGAGTTTGCAAGTGAGTCTGCGGCTGCCCTTTAAGAGGACTTCCCTGTCACCAGCCACCCTCCATCTCACCTGGTTGCAATTCCCACTGGCTTTCACAGCCAGATGTTATGGGGAGTCCTCTTCCCGGCATCGCTGCCCCAGGCTTGTCTGTGACCCTTCACTCCCACGGGGGACCTCCACAGCTGAGCTATACTTGTTCTCCATGGCCACACTACGGGTTGGGGACCTGCCCCTTCAGTGCCTCTGCCGCTCCTACTTCCTTCTTGTTCTCTGTGGCCACACTGCGGGTCGGGGACCTGCCCCTTCAGTGCCTCTGCCGCTCCTACTCGTTTCCACATGGCTTCTTTACGTCCTTAGTTATCGGACTTCTGTCCAGCTAGACTTCAGGCGGTTCGCAGTGATGGTCATTCTGTCATTTAAATGCAATTCTGATGTGGTCGTGGGAGGAGGCAGCACAGTGTTTACCTACTCTGCCTTCCTGGACAGAAGTCCTCAGTTTGACTTTTTTTTTTTTTTTTACAGATTTTAAAACCGAAGAGCAGCTACTGTCTTATATACATGAAAATTACCAAAAGACTGTGGCCGCAGAGGAAACCGTATTGTACTCATGTGCCCGGAACATGATCTCAGCCATAAAAGCGTTCCTAAAGGCCAAGGGTACCCAGGAGTTAGAGGTACGGGAGCTGGAGGTTGCGCGGCCCAAGTGTAATTGTTGCTTGGTGGGTTTGGTTCGTCAGTTTATTGTGCAGTGCACAATTCAGAAGTGATAAGATGAGCAAAGAGGTGAGCATAATCCCAAGTCTTGGAAGATGGACATGGTGAACTAATAAGGTGGAAATCAAGGAAACGGTCCGGGGGGGTCATTACTTGCCTTCTCCCCTAGTGGAAGCTCGGTCCTTGGCTTCATTCCAGCTGCATGGGTTTAACCCGCGGCCTTCACCCTGGCTGCACTTTAGAGTCACCTAGGACTTTTTTTAATAGCTGATGCCTGGCTCTCTCCAGAGCAACTGGAACAGGTCTCTGGGGGTTGAGTACTGTTAAAAAGCTGGCTAATGATTCTTACGCACAGGGAGTGTTGCAAACCACTGTTCTTGACCGTGTACTTGCTTTTATTCATGGTTGGGGAGGCCAGGCTCTGCTAAAGTGAACGGAGGAATTGTTTACATGCTTAGACGTCTCAGTCACCACTTAATAATCTCCTTTAAGAAAGTGCAAATTTGTGGGCTTGCTTTATCTGTGCCTGCTTGCTCTCAAATAATTTTTTACCTTGTTCTTTTTTAAAGATATAGATGAACAATATCCATTACGCTATTTTTTATTCAAATGAAAGAAGGGGGAAATTTGTAAGGGACTGTGCTTCCCTTCTCAGGGGATTCATTAGCTGTGAAAAAAGTAGAAATAATGTCGTCATGTAATCGGTTATGCTTTTGTATTGTCAGGTGAACTGCCTGAATCAAGTCAAAAATAACCTCTTAAAAACTAGCAAAAGCCTTAGACAGAATATAGGGAAAAAACTGGATAAAGAAGAGAAAGTCAGAGAGTAAGTAACTTACTTTTTCTTTTTTTTTTAACCATTTCTCTGAAACAAAGTCCCAAGAGTTGCTTGTATCTGTTCAAAATACATTGTCCGTTGCTCAAAGAAGCTTTTGTAGCCAGTTCTTTATGATGTTCTAATATATGGTTTGACTCACTTGTTTACCTGGTGACCGTATTATTATTTAGAGTAAGCCGTGGTCCTTTGTGATTGTTTTTTCTTATATAAATAGATATATACTTAAGGAAGAAGCTTTTGGATAAGTGGCATTCAAAGTAGATATAACCAATTTTTTTTTTTGTTTTTTGTCTCCCCAAGGTGCCAGCTTCAGGTATTTCTTCGTCTGGAGGTGTGTCTGCAGTGCCCTTCAATACAGGAGAGTGTATGCGATATGGAGCAGGTGGTCGAGGAGGCAAGTACAGAGAGCTGAGCCGGTGGGCATCTGCCACAGCCACCTCCGGCTCTCCTGCAGAGGGCACTTAGGAATTGTGTAAAATCTCTTTCAGGTGACAGATTTGCTGCGCATGGTGTGTTTAACTGAGGATTCAGCATACTTAGCAAAGTTCCTGGAAGAAATTTTGGGATTGTAAGTTTGATGACTGCTAACTTTCAAATTATTTTTTCAAGTACTACATAAGTGTTGTTTCAGAAATATGGAGTTGTAAAATCCTTCTCATGCTGGGTAAGGGAGGGAATAGAGAGGGTGGGTTGGTGACCGACTGTTGCATGTTTAACCGATATCTTTTCCACAGGTATGTTGACTCTATCCCAAAGACACTTGGGAGTCTTTACCACAGCCTAGGGTTTGTGGTTCCTCAGCAGCTGGTTGGTGTCCTTCCTACGGACTGCTTCAGTGATGATTCCATGACACAGGAGAGCAAGTCGCCACTTCTTTCTGTGCCTCCTACGTCAAGTGCCCATAGGTCAGGGTCGGTCGGCACTGTATCTGACCAACTGGAGGAGCTTCGCACCAGGTCAGCTAAGAAGAGAAGGTAAGAGCCCAAGGAACTGAAGAACTTAAGGACATGTTTAAACCATAGTCCAGTTGTCTTTGTTTATAATTTATTGAAATAACAGTTGCCCTTATGTCTGAATCGCAGAAGGCAGTTCTTGGGGTTCCCCCTGTATGTTCCCTGGATAATTTGAAGAGTGCCAGAAGCATGTGACAGTCTTCGTGTTACCCAGGGAACCTACTTTTAAGCAGTTTATTAAGCAGTCCACAGTGTCTTTCTTGACTGTCCACGTGGGGTCTCCAGGAAGTAGTAGCCGTTTATGAGATGAGCTCAGAGTTTCCGCTAACTTTTTAAGTTTTCCTTGATGCTTTTCATTGTTCATAACTAGTTGAGTTTCTAGTAGTCAGTTGCAGAAATTCTGGGTTAACTTTTTTTTGCGATAAATTCAGGCCAATACCAAGATAACTGACTTGTATTTAATTAACGTTTTCTGTTACACTCTAGTTCTAGTCTCACTTAACCTCTATTGAGTATAGATTGACTCTTTCTCTCCATTTTTAAAAGGAAAAATGCATTGATAAGACATAAAAGCATTGCAGAGATCTCACAGAATCTTCGACAAATTGAAATTCCCAAAGTGACCAAGAGAGCTACCAAAAACGTAAGTCATTTCCGAGAGACAAGAAACATCACTACTGAGTTGTTCCTTCCGGCAGGAGTCACACCATAAATAACGAAAGGCAGTGGCTCTACATTTAGGACACGGACATTGCAGCACGCAGAAATAAAATTGGACATTCCCATCTAATCCGAGGAATAAAGAAATATGTATATTTTAAAGATTAACCATGTCACCCAAAAGTGATAGTTAGAAGGAATATAAAGGAAAACAGCACACAAAAGTTAGGAATGAATAAGTTAATTCAGAACCTAATGTAGATAAGAAAACTCAAAATAATAACTAGCCCAAGCAAAGAGGTCACTGAGATATAATGTACAATTATAATAGGACTTTGGCTGAATTCCAGAAAGTACTTTTCAGTACATATGCTTTGTTTCTGTAACAAGTTAAAAGGCAGTAAAAGGGGTCGCTGTCATGAAGCCAGATGGTAATTGTTTTTTGTGGCAATAGACCTAAGGACTTGACAGTTAGTTTTAAAAAGAAACGCCCGGGTCGAGTCCATTTACTGAATAGAACTGGTGTCTCCCTCAGGAAAGGAGATGAAGAACACATCAAAAGCTTTGAACTGCATGAAATAATGAGAAGAGTTAAAATTTATGAAAATTAGCTTTCAAAGCATTCATTATCATTATTATTATGATAGTCGTCTGCTCTCTTTCTCGAGATTTATAACCGTCCTTTGGAATCGAAGGTGGGATTTCTTTTAAAGAGTTAGTAGTGTTCATGTTCTTAGTAGATCTTAATAAGTATAAGTGAATAAGATGCAAATCTTACATATCCTGGAATCCTGATTGCAGAGTGTGAAATCCACAGGTGGACGACGGCAAGCGGGTGTCAGACCCCCTCTCGGCAGAGCTTACGCTGTCACTGTCTCTGTTGTAGTGGTTATTGATTGGCCTAAAAAGTTCACTTCTTTGAAACTTGATTCACTAAGATCTGGATTTGATTTTGGTTAATATAGAACATCATTTGTTAAGTTTCTGCCCCTATGTGTTAGTTCATTCCTCAGTCATTACAGTGGCGTAACTGAAAAATGAAACAGAAAGATCTGTAAAAATGATCCTGCTGTTGAGATCCATCTGGATTTTAGAGTCTTAAATCCTCTACTATAATAGCAAATAAGTAGCAGTTTTATATGGAGACGTTCCTAAGAGTATAGGCACCCTCTAATTAGTTTTTATGGATTTTCCACCTACTTTTTATGTATACAAAAGGTATACATACTCACCATTAAAAAGTTGAAATCATATAGAGTTAAAAGTTAGAATGTCCCTTCTCCATTAATCCTTCAGAAGTAATCACGGGTGATGATTGTATGTATCCCCTGGCCCTTCTTTGTACATAACCAGTAACACACACCAAAGGTTTATATGCATGTTATACGCACAGATACACGTAAACATTATAAGTAGTTAGCCCACTGTACTTATTATCACACTTTTTTTTTACGTTTTCTCCATCACGGACCTCTTTCTATGTTAGTATATATGGGTCTCCTTCCTTCTCAACTCTTTTAACGTCTGCATTGGGTGGATGAACCATCATTTATTTACTTCACTCTTTATGGAAATTTAAGGTGTTTCTTATTACGTATTACAGTACAGCCTTCAGTGTCCTTGGAACATATATCTATTTTTGTGCATTTTATAGCAGTTTCTGTTATGGATTCCTAACAGAGGAGCTGTAAGGGCCAGATGCTTCGGGTGCAAGTTTTATTCTTTTATTTTAAAAGAATGCCCATTTTCTTATTAGATTTTCTCACTTTTCAGGAGAACTCTCACCCATCTCTTCAGCAGCCTCCACTCCCAGGGAAAGATACAGTGCAAGGTATACTTGGTCCTCAGCGTACGTATTTATCAACCTGAACGACGAGTCTATTTTGATTGCATGTATTTAAGCAGCTGCATAATTATAAATTATAGTTTCATATAGTTGCTGGTTAGTGAAAGATATCCAAATGCCATGTGCTAGGAGAATAAGGTGATCTCAAAATATCACTTTCTGCAAAATAACTGGCCTGAAATCCTAAAAAAAAAAAAACCCAACAAAAAAACCCACCATTATTGTGAAAACCCAAAAAAGGGAAAAGATGCAGTGAAGCTGGTTTCGAAGAGAGGAGTTTAAGTGTGGCAGCTCAACGTTACTTCATGACCCCCGCACAGATCGTGAATTTAAAAAGAAAAAAGGATATTGAGACAATAGGAGAAGTTAGAAAGTGGACAGTCAGGTAACACACCCTCGTCCTCAGGGGACAGGCACTGGACCACAGGCTCGTGAAGAGCTGTGGTGTCTGCTGCTTACCCTGCAGCGCTGAGGGGCGGGAAGCTGTGTCCCTGGAGAGAGGGGCAGAGGCAGGAAAGAGACCTTGACAGTAGGTGAATTCTAGTGGTGTCTGCATGTTTATTACATTTTTTGAGAGTCTCTGTAGATATTAAGCTTTTAAAAAACCTGGGAAAAAACAAAGTGAAAAATCAGACGTAGCTGTCGGGTCAGTCAGTCAGTTTCACAGACAGCCTAAGGCAGGTAACAGGCACTCTTTCGTAGAGCCAGAGGAATGGTTTTAGGAGACTTTGGGATGCTGTCGGCACCCTTGACATCATTTATGTCACCGATGGGAGGATGTAAGGGCTCCTCCTAGTTTGTGGATCCTACTTTGTTGGGTTTTCACTTAAATGACTCGCTCCTAGAAGAATTTGCCCATGTTGAATTTTTGAGTAGCCTCCGGCAGCCATCTTAAGATGCCACCCTGCTAACTTTGTCAGATGTTTCTCGATTCTTCAGCTATTTTTCTGGGTCTAGATAGATGGTCAGAGCCCCTATTCTCTGCAGTCAGAAGAGAACTTAAAATAACCCAGAAAATTAGCAAAAAAGCCACAAGAAGAATGAAATCAGTGAAACTTTGAATAGTGTCTCTCTAATTGAAGCTGAGCTGAATACCAAGCATCAAAAGCGTCCAAAGCGAGAAAAATCACCCTAACACTGGGATATGGTAAAAGGACCATGACCTATATTAGCCAGCTTCTTACTTAAGGATTATGTTCATTTTATAATGAGCAAAGCTTCTAATGTAAGTGCTACATGCCTTCCGTGTATTCCTGAAAAGCTGGGATTAAACTGGATGTGTAAGAGTGCATAGTTTTAATGTACCCTGTGGGTGTAATTAAGGAAATCCTATTAGTAGGTGTCAACATGGTAGTTGGTCTGTAGGATAGTTTCCTTAAGCAACTTCTCTCTGTTTTGGATATCTTTGTTTTCCCATCTATGAGTGATGAGATTTGGTTTTTTTCCTTTTTTTTTTTTTTTAATACTTTTAGAAGTGACCAAAGTTCGAAGAAATCTCTTCAACCAGGAAATTTCTCCCTCAAAGAGACCGGGAAAGCGGGGCTTGCCTAGGAGCCATTCTGTGTCGGCTGTGGAAGGCCTGGAGGGCAAACTTGCCAGCGCTGCGAAGACCAGAGGTACAGTTTAGAGTAACCAAGAGAACGTGGTTCTCGGGCCCAGTCCGTCCCCGGACTCGCTGTATTGCAGAAGCTCGTTAGTCTCACCTCTTTTCCTCGCCGCTGTGGTCACCCTCTGTTAATTTTCCTCTGGGGCCTCTCTCCCTTCAAGCTTGGGCGAAGGTCTCTCTCGGTCTTCCCCCCACAGACAAGCATCTGTTTTAGAAAATCAGTTAAAAAGAAACGAACAGTGATTCTAGCTTTCTAATCTTTTGTTGATTTTGGGTTTCTTTTTGG